TCCGGCATAATAATCAAGGAACTTTGCTGCCGTACCATGGGTGCAGCAGGCGCAATGATATTACGCAGCGCATAGAAACTCTTTGGTCATTTTTGAGCAAAATGCTAACGGTCTAATCAGATTCAATGATCTATGCTAAGCTGCCGCTAAAAGTGCTACCGCCAGACCCGGAAATCGGCTGAATGGTTTCGAAAATGGTAAAACTCAACTATTTAACAATAGGGGAGTTGGAAAATGAGCCTATTTTCAAAAATAGTGGAGTGTTCCTTTAAATTAATCAAAAATGAGAGTAAAAACATTTATAATGTTAGAAAAGATTTTTGTCAAATAAATGCTGTTCATTTAAACTATATGTAGGTTTCGAAAATGGTAAAACTCAACTATTTAACAATAGGGGAGTTGGAAAATGAGCCTATTTTCAAAAATAGTGGAGTGTTCCTTTAAATTAATCAAAAATGACAGTAAAAACATTTATAATGTTAGAAAAGATTTTTGTCAAATAAATGCTGTTCATTTAAACTATATGTTCATCAAAGAATTCTGAAAAAAAAATATGCATCATGGTTTCCACACAAATATTAAGCAGCACAACTGTTTTCAACATTGATAATAAAAAAATAAAAAGTTTCTTGAGCAAATCAGCATATTAGAATGATTTCTGAAGGATCACGTGACACTGAAGACTTTAGTTATGATGCTGAAAATGTAGCTTTGCCATCACAGGAATAAATTATGTTCCAATAGAAATCAGATATTTTAATAGGTAATAATATTTCACAATATTACTGTTTTTAATATATCTTTATTAAATATAGGCAGCATTGGTGAGCATAAGAGGAAAATATATTTTTTTCAAAAACATTAAAATCATATTAGCCTTAAACCTTTTAATGGTAGTGTAGAAAAATGGACATAATGCTAAACATTAGATATTATAATAATTTAATCTTCAAATACCCATGGTCCAGAAATGAATGGTGAATTCTAAGTGAAACACTTGTAAATGCATTTAAAATGATTGATTTTAGTTTATATATTTCTTCCCAGATATTGGCCATAATATGCAAAAGATTATCTGCTTATTAATGTCAGTAGCACCATACATTTTAAGTTGTATCGTTGAAAATGAGTTTTGGACAAATAACTTTGAGCAAAAAGTCCTGCTTCTCTGTGTTTTAATTAGATCAGGTGTCTTAGACCTTTTCAAAGAATATATGTTTCTTTTGTGTTAGGTAATAATTGAAACCTCTGTTTTTTTCACTGTCCCTCTCAGTTTGCTAAGTCTTTGGGCCAGTTTATCCACTCGCAGAATATCCATGATTTGAAGGTGTGGACGAGTCAGATGAAGAGGACCATACAGACGGCTGAAGCTGTGGAAGTGCCATACGAACAGTGGAAAGCTCTCAATGAGATTGATGCCGTAAGTCTCTTATCTCTGAACGTTAAACAAGCTTTGTCTTTATTTTAGGGATATTGTATTACTTGACTCTTCAATCTATGTGTGTTTAGGGTGTTTGTGAGGAGCTCATGTATGAGGAGATCCAGCAGAGATATCCACTGGAGTTTGCATTACGAGACCAGGACAAATATCGTTATCGCTATCCCAAAGGAGAGGTCTGTTTACATCAGATCAGTTTTCATTCAAACAGTTGCATTTCATTTTAATTGATATCACAAGGGTTAATGGTCTTATACATGATAGCGAGATGTTTTTTAGCATTGATATTTTATCCTTTAGTGTTTGTATTGCTCTTTTTTGTCCCTTTGACAACAAACAGCTTTTACTTACACTTGAGCACATTAAACAACCATCAAATAAATGTTGCTGATTGCTAGGCTCTCTGTTAGCCATTATCCTCAGGATTGCTCACCAGCTAAATACTCTGAAATGGAGTAAACAAGTCTGTTTTTAGGCTGCATTGACATTGTTCCAAAAAGGCCTAATTGACGTTATTTCACTTGTTTTTGCAAGCTGTTATTACTCTGACCGAGCACATCACACACCATTACCCTCAGCCCTCAACACTTGCTCCTCTCATCTGTCAGGTTGTGAGCGTGTCTGTTCTTCAGAGCGAGCAGTTCTCATTTAGATCAGTATCTCAAACCTGTTTACTCAGAGAGCATTAAAGGACCACAATGTTCTCAATATATTAGATAAAGACTGGGTGCAAGGTCCTTGTGACTTGTGTTTAAGTTTGCGTGCATTTATTCCAGTACTGTACATAAGGGTGTGTGTTTTAGGACTGTGTATCATTCTTCTATCAATTTTGATTCAGTATCAATGAGAAAGGTGGTTGCACCTTTATTTTACAGTATGTGTACTTATCTAAGAAAGTACTGGGTAAAATAAGGTAACATGGGTTAAGCTTAGGCTTAGGTGTAGGTTCAGGGTTAGTGCCTAGTTATTAACCTCTCACTGTAATTACTATGATAAGTACATAGTATACATGCAGAACAGGACTGTAAAATAATGTGCTACCAGAAAGGTTTCTGTGAACATATGATTTCAACTAATGGGAAAATTGCAACTGTGCAATATCAAAACATTGTTTAATATTAGGTCTCAAACCACTAAATATAATTAGCTTTTTTATATAGTGGTCAAAATTTAGTGAAAATCATCTCATGTCCATTGATAAAAATGCAAAGATTAATAGAAAGATTGATTTTTGGATTTTAAGAATCTTGTACCAGATTGTGTAAAATTGTAAGTAAAAATATATCCTTGACACACACACACACACACACACACACACACACACACACACACACACACACACACACACACACACACACACACACACACACACACACACACACACACACACACACACACACACACACACACACACACACACACACACACACACACACACACACACACACACACACACACACACACACACACACACACACACACACACACACATATATATTACATTTTGTTTTAATCTTACTTGTAGTTCAAGATTTAATAACTATAACTTTGTGATGTGCTTTTTTCATTTTGTTAGTTTTTTTTTATTTTTCTATTTATCTTAATTTTAGTAAATTTAGTACTTCAGCTTTATTTTGCATTTATTTTATTTAATTTCTATTTATTTTGCATTTATTTTATTTCAGTTAGTTGCCAAGGCAACATTTTTAATTTCCAGTTCAATATTTATTTTATTCCATTTTTATTCTCTGTTTCTATTTTATAATTATAAATTATGTGTAATGATTGTATATTTTCACTATTTTAATCACCTCCTAGCTTTTCTGCAGTTCACTTCAAGAGTTCTGTTGTGTGACAAATGAACTTTTCAAAGTACAAATATTCAGTGTAGTATCACTTGACGTTTCATGCAAGCTGCTGATTTTATCCAGCCCCTTTTGTGATGTGATCATTATATAGCAAATGGAACAGTGTTGTAATCGAGTATTCTCCTCACAGTCTTATGAAGACTTGGTCCAGCGGCTGGAGCCGGTGATCATGGAGTTAGAGCGGCAGGAGAACGTTCTGGTCATCTGTCATCAAGCGGTCATGAGATGCCTGCTGGCCTACTTTCTGGACAAGACTGCAGGTAATAACCACCATGACACCACCCTTGAAGAGCTTGCCTCTTTTTAAATCACAGTTCACTTGCACTGAAGTGCACTGATGATTAACGCATTTAAAATCTGATCTAAAGTCTACTTGTTTGGTGTGTTTTGTAATTTCCTGCAGAGGAACTGCCTTACCTGAAATGCCCTCTACACACAGTATTGAAGTTAACACCGATGGCCTATGGTAAGACACCCTTTCTTAACTAACCTGGACATTATTCTTTAAATGACGCTATTCCGGTCTTGATTGTGAATCATTCTGGGTCTTCAGGTTGTAAGGTGGAGTCAGTCTGTTTGAACGTGGATGCTGTGAATACACACAGAGACAGACCATCGGTAAGACTCACAAACACACAGCCACTGAGCATGTCAGTCAGTTCAGTGGTTAAAAAGCCTCTCTGCCTGTTTTCTCTTAAGGGAAAGTGCGCAGTCAGTCTGTAGTTATGCTTGAGAGCTCTTCTGTATAATAAAGTGATTAAGCTTTGAGGTCTCCTGAGCCTCAGCTGTCACATGAAAGTTCACTGATGATTTTACCTACTAGCATTATTAGGATGTACTGTAGCATGTCAGTTTACAATTCACGGTTTTTGGGGATTCACATATTTTCTCTGTACTGATGCTTTTTAATTTCTACCCTCTGTCCAGTGCTGGGCTATTTTATTATTACTGAGATACTATTTAGGTTTTATTAACAATTTGAATATACACACACACCCATACTGTATATATATATATATATATAGTCTGTTAATAGTATTTTTAGTAACTATGTTGTGTATATATAATTACATAATTATCTCGAAATTTTTATGTTAAATTTAATTTTTAAATTTTATATTAAACATGTATATAAAACTGATTATATATAATCTGGATTACAAAATCAGATTTCAAAAATTGATTGTAGATTATATTATGTTTACGTATATGTTTGAATACATGATTACATATTATTCACCCAATGGCACACAATAATAATGAATATTTTTTGATTTCCCCTAAATAATCTTTTTTAATAAAATGTTTCATTTTAAAAAAGCCTACATTTTCATGATTTCATAATTATTAGCATTATTACCTTACAAACCCTCTGCAGTTCCTTCGCAAACCACATTTTGGGAAACCCTGATGTATTGTAATGTTTAAAATGGAAAAAATGGAATATATTTTCTTTCTTTTTGTATTTTTTTATATCAATATAGTACAAGATTATCCTATTCAAATTGACGTCATAAACAAGTTAGGTCAAAAGTAATCTAAAAGTAGTCTGATTATATTCTGTAAAATGTGTAATGTAATTGTTGTTTGTTTCTAATTACAATTTTCGTCATGTCATTTTATATTTATACAATTTATAAATAATCTACCCAGCACTGGTCCTGTCTATGATGTGAGTTATAAGCAAAAGCTCATTGGATAACACTTTATTTTAAGGTGTCCTTGTTACACGTTACATGTACTTACTATTATAATAACAATAAATTATGCATAATTACATGCAAGTAACCCTAAGCCAAATCCTAACCCTAACCATATAGTAAGTACTGTACATGTAATTAATTAATATTATTCGGTACTTAAATGAATAATTACACTGTAACAATGACGCCTTAAAATAAAGTGTAACCACTCATCGTTTCGGTCTTCTTGTTATCTTGATACGCGTGTGAACTGATGCAAGTTTTTCACGGTTCTGTTTAGGGATGTAACGATTCACTCAACTCACGATTCGATTCGATTCACGATTTTGATTTCACGATTCACTTTTTTTTTTTTACAAAATGAGATTCAAGACAAATTATAAATTAAATGTGTCCTTTTATTATTGCTTGGACAAAATGCTCCACGTTTCTTTGTGAAATTTAAATATAACACTATAATGATATGCTAATATAGCACTTATAGCAGATAATTACTCTTTTGTTGGTTTTGATTGCTTCTCTGCATTTTAATCTTGATCCAAACAAAGATGCTGCATACATGCAATATGAGCAGTTTTTAATCTAAATTACATTGTATAATTTCGACATTTGAAGCAAAAACAGAATGGTTTGACTTCAGTTTTGTGAAACTATGCATAAAAATATCTGCATGAAACAGAAACAGCAGACGAGCTGAACGAGACGCAGATTCACTCTCTGCCAGCAGGTGGCGCTTAAAGCGTTTCCTTGGTTTCCACTGTAAACAAAGCAGCGCTGCACTTATGAACTTTAATATGCATTATACAGAGGCAAGATGACAAGAAAAAATACCATCTAAACTTTTCTAAAAACAGTAAGTTCCCCTCAGACATACATTCATATAAACTCCTACACCTAAATGAATCGCGATTTGTTTAGCATCTCAACCGATTTGAATCGTCACGTATTTGAATCGATTTTCAACCGGCTCGCGGTTAATCGTTACATCCCTAGTTCTGTTACATCGTCGTCACCTACGTACCTCATCTGTTAATGTGTGACGTCATTCCCTGTGTTTGCTTCAAACAGAACATAGATGTGTCACGGCTGCCGGAAGAGGCTTTGTTAACAGTGCCAGATCATCACTGACAGTTCCCCGTCCCTCTCTTTCTCACACACCATTATCCCATTCCCCTTACATTCCTAAATGCATCTACTGTATTTCCTAAAATCAGGGGAAATTTTTTACCGCCCAGTAAATGCATTTTGAATTACAGCTCCGAAGTGAAGAACTCTGATTATGTACGGAATTCACTTTTTTTTATTAATGAACTAATTCACTATGTGTTCCTGTGTTCATTGACGACGTGCCAATACTAAATTGCACTTTATCATAAATGCGCACTGATGTTTTTCAGTTCCTGCTGCACATGAATGTAACTGCTGCTATGAAAACACCAGTCACTCCAGTAGCATGTGATATTTATTTATGGTGCACAAGTTAATGCATATGTAAATTTGATAGGGTTTTGGCTGGTTAATTTGACATTATTTCTTAATGATTCATCACTTCATAGAATGTGTAGCATGTATATAACAATGGTCAAATTTTGATGAAGCAGAGCCTTGGAAAGAAATTGTAGGTAATTTTAGATTTTTTTACACACCAATTATTATTACACATTAATTATTAAGTTTATAGTAAACTTTTCAGGTTTTTTTTAAACACTAAGAAATGTTATGATGTATAACTCTCTTCTTCTGGTAACTAAAAAGGAGGAGAAATCTCTACTGTAATGCCTATTTGCGATGCTAATAAAATGTATTTGAATAGTGAAATCCTGTCTCTCTTTACATTCACCCACAATACTGTATGTCACTGCAGAACAAAGACAGAACAGCTTGTAAAACATAACGGCACCACACAGCAAAATTTGCAAACCATAAATGATGTAACATGAATATGACAGAAAAACAAGATGATATTACTGCGAGAAAGGGCAGTAATGTGATTTATGTTAATGGACTTTGACCTGAAGTCAAAGGTCAGTATCAGGATGGAGATATTGAGCTAATCATATCAGATCTTTTAAATCATATCACCTCACCTTTGGTCCCATGACCTTTGACCTCCATGCTGATTTACTGTTTTACACGTGTGTGTGTGTGTGTGTGTGTGTGTTGTTTAAAACAAGTTTGCCAGTACCAGTAAAAAAAAGAAGAAGCAGAAATTAGGTTATTTTTCAAGATCACAGGTTGTTTTTGAAAATAAAAAAAAACAGCAATATAATAGTTTTCTGTTCTCTTCCTAGAATATTAATGTACACCGCACTGCCAAGGACGCCCTACAGACCGTCCCGCCTCACCTCTGACCTACAATCTCTCTTCACTACACCAGTGTCTCTCATCCGAGCCCGGGTTTACCATTACAAAAGGTTAACCCTGCCTTCAGACAGACCCCCGCTCAAGTTCTGGTCTGTCATGTTAACCGGTTAATTAGTTGCTGTGAGATTTCTACTGGTTGTATATAGTATATGATTTCTCACTCCATGTTTTGAAAGAGCCATAATCAGTTTACATGGCATGAGATACACGTAGCCTGGAAGATTTTGTTTGCACTTACGGGGTTTGGGAAATATGCGTTTGGGTGGATGTTACTATGGCTCTTATATGTATATGTAATATACATATATTTATGTCATTTATACCGATGGGATCTGCAGGTATGTTATTTTGCTGCTCCTCCAATAGTGCTCTCATTTTGTCAATTCTAAAAGGTCATCTCTCTGTTATTTTGAGGGATGGATGAGTGTACATGTGTGTACATACAGAACAGAGGAAACACTCATTGTGTCAAAAACTGTATTTACTTCATCTCCCTCTAATGATAGAATGACTTTATTTATCTTCGTTTTTTATGTTCTTTAAGAGTTTAGATATAAATATCAACCTGGCATTTAAATTCAAACACTGACCATTGATTCAAGTACTAGTTATTTTAAATCAACACTGACAGATATTCAGGCAGGTATTTTTATATCATCTACATTTTAACTGTGCAGAATATTCTGACTTTCCAACAGTGAGTTTAACTGCATGTTTCTGAGAAAATGAAGTGCTTGTGAGAGAAACATAAGCTGTTTGTTACATTAACAAATTTGGGAACAAGATAAAAGTCTCAGTATTTGTATTACAATATCCTCTGCAATGATTCATCAATTTCCATTTCTATGTAAAGGTTAGAATGGATAGACTCTTCATAGGTTTATCTGGGTCTGTCCAATGTTATCTGTAATGTCCAGTAAAACATGACTGTATTGTTGCCTCAAACCATGTCCAAAGAGTGCTGTGGTATATAATGTGCATTTGAAACAGATCTCGACTATTTAAATTAGATTTTCTGGAGTATGACTAGTAGTATTGTTATGACCATTTTGGTGCCAGTATCACACTAAATAAATAAAGCTATGTTTTGATGTAGTAGTGCATCGATAGTAAATAGTCACAGATTTGAATTCATTGAATAGACTGTCTGTGTAACCAAATCATTTTCATACACCAATGTTGACGTAACAAAGAGACAAATATTCTACAAATACAGCAGCATCATTGGTAAATAATATATTTGATGTCAAATTACATTGATTTTTTGGAACTGTTGAAAATACAAACCGTGTTTGAATTGTATCTCCTCCTTGAATAAACCTTTTGTGGTGATTTTAGCTATATTTTGTAATATTTTGTGTGGCACTGCTACAGTAACAGCACAGTGATTTTAATGAAGGTTTTGAATGGTTCGGATTTATTTTGCCATATACCATCTTAAAGGATATTTTAAGTCTAATTCAATTCACAATTAATCAAAAAAGGGGGGAAAAAAAACATTGCCGCCATATTAGCCGAAAATAAACACCACCCTGAGCGTTTGATTGTTTATTAAAAGGAAAACCTGGAATGGATCTGAAAAAGAAGTAATAATGGAACGCTTTGACCGGGGAAGGAGGACTCTGTCGCTCCGCTCCACTCATATTCTGTACTCCAGACCGTTTTTTCATCTACGCGTTGCTTGGTCACATTCATATTCAGGCTTGATGCTTTGGCTTCTTTGAAAATGGGAACTATTTTATTTGGCGGGCAAGAAACATGCGAACTAACCCATTTAGCCCGAAACAGTGCTGTGATACTGAATATAATAGAGCCTAATGACAAAATCACAGCTGATATTGCTTAAGTGTTTCCATATAGGCTAGTTATAAATATTTAGGCACCATTTTTTCCAACAATGTTTTATCCTTTATACTTATAATAATTATACTGGGAAAAATCCTCCAATTCCACACATACTCACAAAGTCACAGCAAAACACCGTGGCACCTGAAAGAGACAAAATGCAGTTCTATTAAAGGGGTCATATGATGCTTTTTTAAAGATCATTATTTTGTGTATTTGGTGTAATGAAATATGTTTATGTGCTTTATTGTTCAAAAAACACATTATTTTTCAAATACTGTACATTATTGTAGGTCCTCTATGCCCCGCCTCTCTCAAACGCTTCGTTTTCTACAAAGTCCCTCCTTCCGACAAGCGCAGTCTGCTCTGATTGGCCAGCTGACCCAGTGCATTGTGATTGGCTGAACACCGCAAGCACTCATCGGAAATGTAATGCCCCTTACCATAATCGCGAGCTTCATCTTTCAAAATAAATGTAAAGACAGAGCCCGAAAGGGGAACAGAGTCGCGTGACAGACACAGTGATGAAGCTGGTATGTGTTTGCAGTACACAAGCCACGGTTAAGACAGCTGACTCCACTGTGATGTGACCCTCTCTCTCGCTCTCTCTCTGGCTCTCTCTCTCCCTCTCTCGCTCTCTCGCTCTCTCTCTGGCTCTCTCTCTCCCTCTCTCGCTCGCTCTCTCTCGCGCTCTCTCTCTCTCTCTCTCTC